AAACCCAGATAAACCCCGCCCTCGGGAAAAGGCAGCAAAGGGGGCGAGGCCATGCTGCGCTGCTTTAGAGAAGAGGAACAGAAAACTAGAGGTGCATGTAAAAATCTATTCATATATGAATCGCGATTCTGTCTTCTAACGATTCTAATGGATTCACAAGTTTCAAAATCAATGTTCTAAAGCAGCGGTTCTTAATAGTGTTCCTCGTGTTCCCCTGCTCTGCACACGCGCTCTCTCTCTCTCTCTCTCTCATTCAGCTCAGCTCCAACAATGAACTGTTCCAATTATACACTTATTTTCACATAGCTATGAGAAGTGTTAAACATGGACGCACGTGCGGTTGCCGTACTGTATTAAAGCTTTAATCAGGATAAAACCGTATATTAAAAGCTAACATAAGCAGTAGCATTTACAAATAACAGCATATCTAAAAGTATGAGACAACAACAAACAAAAAACATAGGCCTACCATTAAAAGCTGGTTCTGCACGATCCTCTTCAATAATATCCTCTGCTTCTCAATCGGGCTCAAACTGATAAATGATATTAACGACGCCGTTGTTTACAATATAACCGGGGCACATGCCGCTGAGGTGAGGGGCGGGACGATTAGATGCGCACGAGAGGCGGTTTAGCCAATCACAACACACTGGGCTAGCTAACCAATCAGAGCCCATCACCTATTTCTGAGGGCGGAGCTTCATAAAAGAAGGAAATTATCACCGTGTTTTTCAGAGAAGGGACAGAGTGGTGTGGAATAAAGGTAAATTGTGTGAAAAATAATGCATTTTTAAAAAAACGAAGCATTAACACATGTTAGACTGCACCCCATAAACACAATCAAGCCTAGAAAAAAACCCAGTGAACCACCCCTTTAATAAAATCACTTGCTTCATTCCTTAATGAATCAGTCCTTTTGAACGAATCAAATGATTCCATGACTCATTCATTAACTCAGTAATTTGCCACAACCTACTGGCAGTTTCATATTTAAACATAATTAAACATATATAAACATACCCCCGCCCCCCCCCACCATTATTTCAAATGTCAATGTTCAAAATGATATATTTAAAACATTATAAATTTTAGCTTTAGAAATTATAATTGCTTTAAATGCACCCATTTTTATTTAGAGGTGGTTAACATAAAAGCAAGACATCAAAATTAATATGCCCCTTACTTTAGGTATTCCAAAGTATTTAGATTAAGTTACTAAACCTGAGTAATCTAACGAAATATGTTACAAAATACGTTTTAAAGCATCTATTTTGTAATCTGTAGTAAAAAAACATTTTAAAAGTAACCTTCCCAACCCTGTTTATTAAATGCAGTTGAACGTTTTTTGACCCATGCACTTAAGTAGGACTTAAGTACATCTTTATATTGCAGTTTATTACATTTAATATTAATATTATTAACTTTAAATGTAATATCAAATGATATACAGTTAGAATTATAATCAAGTACTTTCCATGAGCTTTAGTATGTTAGTCAACACATTCTTTAAAGCACTTTATATTTGACATTATTACAAAATGTAGTTTTTAAAAGTGTACATATGTGTGTTAAGAAACAGTAATGAAAAGTGAAGTGCCTTCACTTAAGGCACGTAAGAGTATATAGTTTCATTAAAAATTAAAATGATCTGCATGTACAATAAAAAAACAAACATTATTTTAAGGTTTGAATACACTATAAGTGCACATTCAATACAGTTAAGCACACTTATTTTATATACTTTTTTTCACTATGTATAACATGGCTTCTTGTATCTTATTGCCTAATTATGACAATAATGAAAATATTTGTTTTAATGAGGTAATGGGTTTCTTCATCCAAGGCGAAACTAAAGCAGTTTTGTAACAGTCCAAAAATGCACGTTGCAGATTATAAACCAACAGCTTCCCACTTAATCCATTTTCTGGACGAGGAAGCTTGAATAATCGTAATTTTTAACGAATTAGAACCACAGACTCCAGGCTCATGGTATTTCATTTGCGATATGGTGTTAGTAAACATATTTATAATTCATGCTCAGTGAATAATACTGTTTGAAAAAAAGCATGACTACCTCGTACAGCAACTAAACCTGAGTAAAGGCCTCAGTAAGACATTTATACATCAGCTTAATTAATACCAATGCCATAAAACTTTATCATTCTGCTGTGTTGAACTCAAAGTCTTCTAACTACACTAAAAATGCTTTATCTATACCTCATCTGCTGTGCAGACCATAAAAACACAATCCCTTTCCACAAGAAAGTATGCTGTTTAACTGTTCAAATCAAGTTTATTTATGAACAGAATCTGAATCAAAGGGTTACTTATAGCTTTGCTCCACTTTGTTGAAAGCAAGTCGTTCATTAGACTGTCTTTATAGCCTTCACCTGTAAACTGAAGCTCACTCGCTAAAAATATTTTAGCAGCACAAGGGCTGTATATACAGCATTTATTTAGCAGGTTCATTTATTTACAGTAGCAATGGCACAGAGCCATTCAAAACGTGAAATGTTCCCAATGTACAAAACACAATGCACAGTTGTTTTGTATTACAATGCTAAAATCATTTTTGTGCATTCAATGTTCTTCCAGTAAATCTCTTTTAAACATGATTAAATGTTTATCCCTAATGTCATACGCCACTATAAACATCTACTTCCATATCTTCATAAAAGCTGAGTTCCGGTCCGTTCTCATTGGGGATCCTGAAATGAAAGATCAGTGAGAAACATGAAATCAGACAAAAATGTAACTGGTTAGTTCTGAATAATAGATAAATAAATGATAAAGTAATACACTACAGCTCAAAAGTCTCTTCTGGTTACCAAGCCTGCATTTATTTGATAAAAAAAATACAGTAAAAACAGTAGTATTGTGAAATATTATTACAAATGAAGAACTGTTTTCTATTTTAATGTATTGTAAAATGTAATTTATTCCTGTGATCAAAGCTGAATTTTCAGCATCATTACTCCAGTCTTCAGAGTCACATGATCCTTCAGAAATCATTCTAATATGCTGATTTATTTATTCTAATATTGCATCACAGGAAATTACATTTTAAAATGTTTTCTAATAACAAAAAAAAGAGTTATTTTATATTGTAATAATATTTCAGAATTTACAAATTTTAAAATTTACAGAATTTTACAAAGCTCATCGGTCTGAAAAAGCGAGGTGTGCTCTGATTGGCCAGCTATCCAGTGCGTTGTGATTGGCCGAATTCCTGAAGCGTGTGACGGAAATGTTACGTCCCTTACCAGAGACTTTAGTCTTTGCAACTTCACAGATCTTCTTTATGCACCAAGAGCTTGTAACACTCCAAAGAGAAAGGAAAAATTGAAATCGCATCATATGACCCCTTTAAAGCTATTTCTAACATGCCTGCAGGTGTCAGACTTGTGGTTTACATACTGCCCTCTGGTGTCAAGTTGTGCTGAACAAAAGAAGATTGTTAATCTTGAATTAACTGTATATATATTTTTTAGCATTTGTAACATACTGACCATAAAAATACGCAAAATGAAGTATACATGCTGTATTTAGTTTACTGAAAAACAATTTTAGAGTGAAAATCAACAAGTGTCTATTGGCCAGGCATTCATTTCAGCGGCTGTGTGTTGAAAGGGTGTGTACTTATGATTTGACTTGTTTTCATGGCATGTGTTACAGTTGTTCTCCCTCCTAAACCATCTGAAATAACCTGAAATAGCCTTTATAAATGCATTGCATGAAGGAAGTCCAGGAGCATCAATAATTATTTTCAGAATCACATACAAATTCGATGCTACTACAAGAATGTTGCAACACTAATCAAATTACAAAACAGTCATTTGAACAACGTAAAATGACTAGAAAACAGTTGCATTATATCAAGTGTTTATTTGTAACAGTTTACACTTTCATAAAACACGCAGCTCCCAATGAGAGACGTTAAATGTAAAATTAACTAAATTTTGGAAAAAAAAAAACCCTCCCTTAAATTTTTTAAGGTTCACAGCCAATAAAGTGTACGTATTTTCAAAATCAAAAAGGTTATAAAAGCTTCAAACGGACTCACATCCCTCACTATTCCCCTTTATGATTATATCTGGTAATGACGCTGTGACATTTTCACTTCCAGATTTTTAGACATCATAAAAAAACCCACATGTCCTGAAGTAAAAACTCATGTGTGGTGTGAGTGAATTAAACAGTCAAGTAGTGGTGACACCACAACAAATGCATTCAGACATGCAAGAATGCCTTCAGAGACGTTCATGACAATAGACTGGTTATTAATCCAATAATCCTGCTTCTTTGATGAATCAGATCTGATTTTTAAATGCAGCAATTGAAATCACTTTAGAAAGCGAAAGCAGCTATGAACAATACATTGAATCAATGCTAATATGATTTTTCCTGAGAAACTATGTTCAAAATAATCAATTAACAGGAAAGTGTTTCTGTTAAGAGGTATTTCATTGCATTGTCATTTAAAAGACATTTTGTGCAAAATATATGCAACTGGTCAGAGGTGAAAGTGACATCATTATTAGTTTTTATGAGTGCAAAAGTAGCTCATGATAAGATGGACAGGCAAGCTGGTATTTTAGAACCCAGAAATGGAGCAGAACTCTATACTGAAAACTATCCTCCAGCAAATGCCATTTAACAGTGTTTTGCACTCTCCAGCGCCCCCTGCAGTGTGAAGGCCACAGCACCGGCACAAAGCCTGGTCTAGCAAATGTCTTTGCGGTTGGTTATGTGGTTGACGTCAGTGCTGTACGGAGAGTCCCAGTCTCTCTCAAACACTGCCTGCAGCTGCTCCTGGACTGTGGGGGTTGTGGACTGAGCTGAAGTCTGGTTCACCACTAATGCAGATCCAGCTGTGTTCACAAAGTAGTCCCCTGACCAGTTAGACGTGCCTGGAAAGTATGGAGGCAGGAAATAAGTATAGCAACAAGATAATGAGACATCATTCAGGACATTAGAAGACAAACCGTAAAGGGTTTAGATGTTTAAGCAGTGAGCCGTACCTATATAAGCAACCTTATCTGTGACCATGTACTTGTTATGGTTGACTCTGGCAAAGGGAATGTGTTTCTGTCGAGGGTCGGAAGGCACAGTAAAAATTCTCTGTGAGGGGAAAAATGATTTGTATCAGACATTGTTTCATATAAATTAATGCTTTATTTGGAAAGGGCACATTTAATTGATCAAAATGACAGTAAGGATTCCCACATTGTTAGAAATGCCTATTCTAATTGTTATAAAATTCTATTCTAATTCTATTGCTTGCAATTCATCAAAAAAATCCTCAGTTTTCAACACTGATAATAATGTTTCTCCAGCAGCAGATCAGCATATCAGACTGATTTCTGAAGAATCATGTGACACTGAAGACTGGAGTAATGATGCTGAAAATCCAGCTTTGCATCACAGGAATAAATTACATTTTAAAACATATTCAAACAGTTACTGTAAATTGTAATACAATTTCACAATATTACTGTTTATACAGTGTTTTTGATCAAATAAATGCAGCCTTCCTAAGTGTTCAGACAGAACATTTCACACAACAGATATAACACAAATGTGACGGCACTCACCACTTGAATGTCCAGCTTGCTCTTGCCCTGTAAGGAAGCTAGCGAACGGAGGAAAGGGAACATGATGGGGTTGGTATTGTCCCAACAACTGATCAGCAGACGCACACGAACTTTACGCTCATAAGCCACGCGCCGCAGCTGGGTATCGATATCCGCCCAGTACCTGCAGGAGATCAGGGAGAGCCATGATGGGCATTACAGAGGTGTACTTTGAAGGTTAAAAATGTGCAACTCCATGCAGACTGAGACAATTTTGCTCCTGTGAACTTCTAAATGAACTATATGGTCCTTTATTGCTTCACTTGGACTGGGAGGGCCAAAATGCAAAAAAACGCAAAATTACCAAACTTCAACTAAATGAAAACAGAAAATATAAAAATAAAATCAAATTCAAAATATTAACAATATTAATGAATATTAACTATAATTATGGAAGCCCGTTTCCGCCACTGAATAAAAAATAAAAAAGGTAATTGCGACTTTTTATCTCACCATTCTGACTTTTTTTCTCAGAATTGCGTGATATTAACTTCGCAATTGTGAGTTAAAAAGTCATAATTGTGAGATATATACTCGCAATTCTGAGAAATAAAGTCAGAATTGCGTGATATAAACTAGCAATTGCGAGACAAAGTCGCAATTGCGAGTTATAAAGTCAGAATTGTGAGATATAAACTCGCAATTCTGAGAACATATCAGTCTTTTTCTCCCCTTCAAAATTGGACTTTAACTCACAATTGCGAGTTTTTATCTCGCAATTGTGACTATATATCTCGCAATTCTGACTTTATAACTCGCAATTGTGAGTAGTGTTGTCAAAAGAGCCGGTATTTCGGTACCAACACAATTCTGACTTTTTATCTCGCAATTCTGACTTTATATCTTGCAATTCTGACTTTATATCTCGCAATTCTGACTTTATATCTCACAATTCTGACTTTATAACTCACAATTCTGTAAAAAAAAGTCAGAATTGTGAGATAAAAAGTCTCAATAACCTTTTTTTGAGCTTCCTCATGATATGCCAGTTAAAATAAATGGTTCAAAAAGCCTACGATAAGCAGATTTCATAATGAAGACAGGTGGCTTTAGGCTGGTTGGTTATGAAACATATGCGTGAAGAAGGAGGTAGGGAATATACCACAGACCTTTTGTGGCTGGAGTACTCCATAGTGGGGAGATAGTTCATCACAGCGATGTAGACGAACTGCTGGGCATCAGCAATCACGCTGAGGATAGACTGCAGGTCTGGAGTCCGGCCCTCGGCACACAGTGAAGGAGGAGAGCTCTGTGAGAGAGAGAGGAAAACTTCCTCAATAATGCCAAACAAAACTGCAATCAGCTCAGCAAACACCACCAGAACGAGGAACAACACAAGCCACAAAAATTCCAAAGGCATTGACAGGAATACACAGTGTCACATTCAGTGCATTAGCTTTGTCTTGGCTTTATTCCCTTTCAAGATTGAGCTCAGTTTATCCAGTGTGCTGGATCTCTCTTACTGATAGATAGGCGCTGGCATCGGTCCCATTGAGTGACAGCTGCATGGGTGTGTCCTTGTTGTACAGGGTGGAGTAGTTTTTGGGCCAGTGTGCAGGAACGGTCTTGGTCTGATTTAGGTACCAATACGCCTCGAAGATCTTCCCAAGATCCTTAGCAAGACAGCTGCAGTCATACACAACCGCACCCAACTCCTTCACCTGAGCAGAATATATGAATATATGGAATATATAGAGTATATGGAGTATTGGTGCTATTTCTGGGTGGCTGAAAGTCTGAGTACTTAAAGTATTAGCAGCACATCTCTCCTCCCGTGTTAAAATGTTTATATTCATTACCATTCATAGGTTTGGGGTAAGTAAGACTTTTATTGTTTTTTATGCTCACCAAAGCTGCATTTATTTTATTTTTAAAAATACAGTAAAAACAGTAATATTGTGAAATATTATTACAATTTGAAATAACCATTTTGTATTTGAATATATTTTAAAATTTTTAAAATTTCTGTGAATTACTCCAGTGTCACATGATCTTCAGAAATCATTCTAATATGCTGATTTGCTGCTCAAGAAACATTTATTATTTATTATCATAAACAGTTGAGCTGCTTAATATTTTTTATGAAAATCATGATTTCAGGATTTTTGATGAACAGAAAGTTCAAAAGAACAGCATTTATTTGAAATAGAATGTTTTTTTTTTGTTACATTACATCTTTACTGACTTTTTTGATCAATTTAAAGCATTTTTGCTGAATATAAGTTTTAAAAAGTTTTCTTTACAAAAAATATACCTTGAACGGTAGCGTAATTATTTCTACTATATGAGGCATGTACGAGTAGGTGAGGAAGCAAAAAAATCCCAAATACTGATATCAAACCATGTGGCAATTAAAGTTAGTAATCCTTGAAAAAAAAAAAAAGACAAAAAATATGGCTCACCTGTGTTAGTGACCTCCAGTCCATATTGGCGCTTCCTATGTAAATGTGCTTCTTATCCACGATCCAGAATTTAGTATGCAGCACACCTGACGTCAGCTCTCGCATATTCACCATCCGTACATCAGCTCCTGCAGGAAGTAAGGCATTATTAAGTTGGCTTGAAAAAATCGGAATCCTACTGGAATCCTATTTAAACGTCTTCTTCTTCTTCTGAGACCAAATTTGAAAATGTATCTCCTCCTAGACTTTTAAAGCTACAACCACCAAACTCGGGTCAGACCTTCAGACTGGTCTGACTCTGGGAAGCTAAAACCAGCCTAAGCTGATTGACTGCTTTGGCTGGTCTCCCAAGCTGGTTTTAAAGTGGTTTTGGCCACTTTTTTAGCAGGCCAGGCTGGTCTTACCTGGTTTTTAGCTGTTTTTTTTAACCGAATCAACTGGTTTTAGCTGGATTAGCATAGAAACATGCTAACGACATGCTAGTAACTTTCTAATCATGCTAGAAACATGCTAACAAAATGCTAGTAACTTGCTAATAATGTTAACAACATGCTAATAAAATGCTAATCATGCTAACAAAATGCTCGTAACATCCTAATCATGTTAAAAACATGCTAGTAACTTGCTAATCATGCTAGAATAATGCTAGCAATATGCTAGTAACTTGTTAATTATGCTAATAACATGCTAGTAACAGGCTAATCATGGTAGTAACTGGCTAATAATGCTAACAACATGCTAGTAACATGCTAATCATGCTAACAACATGCTAATCATGTTAGAAACATGCTAGTACTAGTAACATGCTAATCATGCAAACAACATGCTAGTAATATGCTAATCATGTTATAAAACATGCTAACCACGTTAGAAACATGCTAGTAACATGATAATCATGCTAGCAACATGCTAATTGTGCTATCAAATGCTAATCATGCTAGAAATGCTAATCATGCTAGAAACATGCTAGTAACTTGCTAATCATGCTAGCAACATGGTAACCATGTTAGAAACATGTTAGTAACATGCTAATAATGATAGCAACATGCTAGTAACATGTTAATTGTGCTAACAACATGCTAGAAACATTTTAATCATGCTAGCAACACGCTAGTAACATGATAAAAACATGTTAACAACATGCTAGTCATGCTGTAAAGTTGCTTTGCAATGATTTGTATCTTGAATTGAATTGAATAGAATAGTCATGCTAGAAACAGCCTAGCAACCACCCCAGGTACCCTAGCAATATGTTTTATACCTATCTGTTTTTCTGACAGACTGTATTGCCTTGAAAACATTCAAACTTTAAACTTTTTTTGCTTGGCTGTTAAATATGTCAAAGTCAAGTTGACTTACCAGAATCAGTCAGAAACTTAATGTCATCCATAGGTTTTTTCTCTGATGGTTTATCAACTGCAATTCGGACCGACACTTTCCCCGAGAGCTGTCCTAATTCCTGCAGAATCTGCTCACCCTACAATGAACAGATCACTTGGGTAAGACATCACGAGCACAGCCTATTATTCAGTGAGAAGTCAGTAAACTTCACATCCAAACCTGATTAGCTGTGGCCTCGTGTGTGTGCGTGTCGTCATTGGTAAGAGTCCAGTAGAAGGAGGCGATGTCCAGACTGGTCTGAGCACCAGATATAAGGTTGAGCCAGGCTTCATATACGGACTGATGAGTGGTTGAGGAGTTAAACACCAGTCCCTCAGGAATACTCTCCACTAAAACAATCCTGTAAATGACACACATGGGCAACAAAGCCATAAATGCAGACTTAATTGAAAGTGCAGCTGTGAAACAGTGTCCTGTGGTTAACCTCATTTACCAGTGGACCACTGAAACACTCAAAAACACAAAGAAATGTGTGACAGAATGATAAGTGACCCAAATAAAGTCCCATAGGTGGGTGTCTACCTGCAGGGATCAGTACAGGTTTCTCTGATTAGAAGGTGCTCCTGCTGTCCAGATGATTTTGAGGAGGAGGACGAGGAAGACGTTGCCATGGGAACAAGCAGGGTTTGGAGTGACAGGAGTATCAACAGTATTGTGGTTAAACAGGTGAGGATGATCAGACACCTGTAATACTAAACACACAGATGGATACGTTCAATAAGGTACAGTTACTGGTCATTAACAAAACAAACAACAACAGTCATCATTCATATGATGACCATTATCCAGCTCATTACACAGATTCTTATAAAATAATTGAACATGTAAAATGATTTGAACAAATGATTTTAATCACGGCAGAAGAAAAATGACATGGAGTGAAAAATGAGGTACAATGTAACTGACAGTAGTTACACAAAATATATTGGTACCAAATCTGTTACTGGCTGATATTAAACATTACTTTTGATTTATCAGTATCGATACTGGACATACATCAGCTGATACTGGATATTTAAGTGTCCTAAGATTTTTTAAACGAGTCACACATTGGCTGGTAATTTCGGTAACTTTTTAATGAAATCATATAAAACTAATTTTTCTACAGTACTAACAATACAATTATGTAAATCTTTTGCGATTTTAGGTCATTTAGATATTTTTTATGTGTACATTTCTCTAGTTCACCATCATTGCTATAAGCAAATACACAAACTTTTAGAACTACACTACAGTAAAAATCTCCTTTAAGTTTATTTCTATTTCTATAATTTATATAAGTTGAAACAAAGAAAATATGAGAATGTATCATGGATTTGAATGCTAGCCTTCTGGTGAAAAAATCTAAATAACATGACTTCATATCAGGTCAAAATCATGTTATGATGCTATGCATCCACTCGCTGTGCAAGAATTCTAGATTTTAAGCTTAGAAAATATACATTTGGATATTTGTTCAGACTTTATACAACTATTATATGTATTATATATTTTTGTTAATATTTTAAAAGTGCCATTATTGAAGTCTCTGTAAGAGAGTGTGTGCAAATAATTTGCACTCCGAATGTTTTGCAGTCTCACTTCTTTATTTCTGTGTGTGTTTGTTCATTATTGTGGCTGATATATACATTTCATTCAACACATATTAGAAAAAAAATCTGATAAATTTTGACTACAAACAGCCAATGTGTGACTATTTATAACCACTTAGACTCAAATCAAATGAAGTCCATTTAGTAAAAAAAAAAAACATTTTGAACTAATTCAGGAAAAAAATGCTTAAAAAGCTTATTAGGGTTAATTATGCATGCTCATTTCTTATTTTTACATGCAGATTACCTTTGGTGTCATCTAATGCTTACTTAATGTTGATCTTAAAAAATGTAAAATTCACTCTTTAGCAATTTTCTCACACTGTACATTATAACGTTGTGAGGCCTAAATTTATTTAAAAACAAATGACTGAGTTTTTTTTTTTAGCATTTTAACACCAGTCATCGATTAGTTCAGAGTAGGGCTGCACGATATTGGAAAAAACTCACATTGCGATATTTTTTTTTCTGCGATATGAAAAAAATAAATAAATCACCAGATGACTTGAATAGCTCTATTTGAAAAAAAATGATAGGGGTGATTTTGTAGGCGAGTAAATCAGCATAGAAAATAACAAACAAATTACAAGCATAGATAAATATAATAGAACAAAGATATAAATTAAATAAACAGTGCTTTATATTTTTCTGGTAAGTCTAACAGTATTCACTATTCAGGTACAGAAATTGAATAATCAAATGTAAAATAACGCTGCATAGTCTTCACTGTATAAATTAAATCTAATAAATCTGTGTTAAAGCTACGAAAGTGATTTTTCTGTTTTTTGTTGTTTGATTAACATTCATGACACAGAAAGCAACAGGAACATTAAACTGCTGTGAACCAATATACTGTTACACATAATTTTTCTTTCTCACTTGTTTACCTTGACCTAAGCCATAAGCATCTGTGTTTACAAGGATACTTGCAGAGACATGCATTTTGACATAATTTCGCACTTAAGTGTCATTTCAGGCACAAATAGACGAAGTGAATGGAATTCGGTGTTCATGTGCATCTATGTTCATAATTAAACTCTACTTCTATAGTTTAAAATCGCTTGAATGTTTAAACCGACAGGACCTAAACACATGCAAATGATGAACCTTCATTGTATGATGGTTAACCTTTGCAGTTAATCCAAGAATCACCTGCGTTTGGAACCCTGGTTCAAAAAACACATTATTTTCCACATACTGTACATTATTGTTTCTGCTCTATGCCCCGCCTTTCTGAAACGCGTCGATTTTAACAAAGCTCATCAGTCTGAAAAGCGAGGTGTGCTCTGATTGGCCAGCTATCCATGTCTGCATTTGTGATCGGAGAAATTACAAACAACAAGCGCAACTCTACACGGCTCAAAACCATAGACTGTATAAAAACATGGATGTAGTGTCCGTGACGTCACTCGTAGGTTTCAGAAGAGCATTTTTAAAGCCTAAAGTGAGCGGAGCCGACTGCCGCCATCTTGGCAGTGTGTCACCGCGCGTCACTCCCAGATAATCAAAAATGGGCAAAAAGGCGGGACGCCCACTTTAGGCTTCAAAAGCACTTTTTGTACCAGGCTGTAAACATATTTTTTTCTGCTGTAAAGTTGGGCATTTTAACATGGGGAGTCGCACGGATCAGCTCCAGGCATGACGAAGCGGATATCGTCCTCTTTTGGAAGACCAAACAAAGTAGTTTCACTTTCACAACGAAACACACAGCGCATTCACGACATGGCGGCGGCGGCAACAATACTACAGCGAGAATAAAAGTTACGCCTTCTTTCTTTGCGTGAACATTTGGGTGGCGTTATGCAAATCTTCCCACATAGTGAGGTAGATATGTGGGGGCGTGTTAGAACGAGCCGTTTTAGGTAGGCGTGGCTGACTCTTAACTTTTATAAAGAATATCTCTTTGGATTTGAGACTTTAGTCTTTGCAACTTTACAGATCTTCTTTATGCACCAAGAGCTTGTAACACTTAATTTAAATTGCATCATATGACCCCTTTAATACCTTTTGTGAGCCAAGATGTGTTTCTCCTCTGCTTAGCTCCACATCAACCATCTTGATCAAGACATGAAAACAAAAATAATTGTAGTTAATCAAACATAGCATCTTAAGCGTGCACATAAATTTATAAATTAAAACCACTAGATAACTCTTAAACAATAAGTGAATTTAAGGAGAATATAAGAATCACAATCAATTCTTAATCATTTAAATTAAGATTAAATTAACCTACCTTTTCATATGGTATATCTGACTTCATTGTGTCGAGGTTCACCAGTGCATTAGGAGGAAATAAAAATCCTAAAAAATGAAATATGAGTCAGTCTGGCTCTGGGGAATCAGTGTTCGTGTAAGCATGTAGACTGGATGGTGAGCGTTTGTGTACGTGTTTGTGCCATTCTTTGTTCTGTCTCCCGTGTCCAGCACTTCTATAGAAAAAGGCTTTTTGCCAGCTCATTATACCGAAAGAGCCAGACGTCAGCATTAGTGGCTATAGACTGAACAGCCAGGAGGCTGACACATGTCTCAGTCTTGATGAGCTTGGCAAATCTTTCACATGCAGTGGGCACTCTGGGATATCATCTGATTTAAAAGTGGAAGTGTTTTTGAAGACGCGAGGAAAGTGAAGAAATGTGGATGCTGTGCAGGTTATGAGAGTCATGAGCAAAGTGTCATGTGACTGAGCTTCCTGATAGTAACGTGATCTAGTTATGGAACCTTGTTGACAGGAGGACAAGCAGGAAAAAAATACTGTTACTGTACAGATCAATGTGTGAATGGCTTAATTAATACATTTTCATAGTCCATTAAAATGGTTTACCCCATAAAGCCTATGAATTTCAAAGGCCTTTAAATTACCAGCATGATCAAAACTTTGCTGAAAAACCTGTTGCACACCATCTACTACATGCCTTCTGTCCTCTGCTTCATAGTTTATACTTTTTTAGCAAGTAAAAGGTCTTTTAGTATAATTATTTATTTGTAACCCTGGACCACAAAACCAGTCTTAAGTCGCTGGGGTATATTTGTAGCAATAACCAAAAATACATTGTATGGGTCAAAATTATAGATTTTTCTTTTATGCCAAAAATCATTAGGATATTAAGTAAAGATCATGTTCCATAAATATATTTAGTAAATTTCCTACCGTAAATATATAAAAACTTAATTTTTTATTAGTGATACGCATTGCTAAGAACTTAATTTGGACAACTTTAAAGGCGATTTTCTCAATATTTAGATTTTTTTGCACCCTCAGATTCCAGATTTTCAAATAGTTGTATCTCGGCCAAATATTGTCCTATTGTCCTAACAAACCATACATCAATGGAAAGCTTATTTATTCAGCTTTCAGATGATGTACAAATCTCAATTTTGAAAAATTTACCCTTATGACTGGTTTTGTGATGGAAAGCTTATGTATTCAGCTTTTCAGCATTTCGAAAAATTGACACTTAAGACTGGTTTTGTGGTCCAGGGTCACATTTGTCCATCTCTCAATCATCAATGTATTGCATTGCATTACGTTTTGCATCCACAATAAAAACCACAGATGTTTGATCATAAAACTAAGCATTTAAAATCATCTTAATAAGACATATTATTGGGGGATATAGAGTGACAACTGATATGCATTTTATGTAAGTAGTCTGAAATTCTGTTATAAAGATCTCAATGAATTACATTAAATGCTATCAGAATTTCATCGTACTTATAGGCCATATTAATAACAAGGGCACCAAATTGAGCTCCATAATATTCTTACTATATCACACTATATGAGACATAAAAGCCCAGCGGCCTAATATGAAACTCAAAAAAAAGAAAAAAGAAAAAGAAGCAGCAAAGTCTGACACTTTTAATTGTTTGCAAGTTGCTGTTGATAAAAGCGCCTGCTTATTCAAAAGGCCATATGTTATAACATAACATATAATATAATATAACATAACATATGTTATGACATAACTGTGGGTAAATGAGAATATGGTCTCTTGTGCAAAATGAGTCCTCACATGAGTCTAATCATGTGCACTAAGAAGTCCTGAAGATACTTCTATCATAAAAAAAAAAATCCATAGTATCTATGCAACCTTAAAAGGATAATTTGCCCTACAAAGGAAGCAAGTCAACCCGGTTTGGAACAGCACGAGGATGAGTAACTGATGACAAAACATTTCTGGGTGAAATATCCTTTTAACTAAGAGTTGTGAATGCCATCTCAAAAATTATAAATGTCGACTGGCATACTGTATAACCTGCCTAATAAACGGTATCTCTAACCCAAGTGAGCTGGTTACCAAGATAGCGTCTTTGGGACGTGCCTATGATACCCCAAAAAGTCGTCTAGATAGGCAGCTCACTAGTGTTTGACACACAGCCATGGTCTATTTTTGCTTCCGTAAGTGTAAATAGTAACACATTTGTAGTTGTCACATACTCAATGCGCACACACAACCTTTGCCAAAACACAGCTTTTTAAAAGTTCAAGGAAATGTTAAGAAAAGGTAACTTTATATGAAATAAAAGACATACCTGTGATCTAACAGCTCACAAAGCAAACTATCCCGTTTGAGACACAGCGGTAAATCAGCTGTCAATGAGCTCTATTTACAGACGAAGACAAGTGCTCTCTGTTAACAATAACGAGGTGAAATCGGCGTAAACAGTGAGTACACTTCTCTGTTTGCACTGCAGTACACTGTTAGTGCACTGTAAGAGTCACGTGATCACGTTTTAAGCAACCTATGGGTGAACGCCATGAGAGTGACGTAGCCTGTAAACATTCACTTCAGTTTTATCAAGGTTATGTTGATGAAAACGCTTTTCTTAGAGGGACCAGAAACAATAGGTTATCGGTTAATTCTTATTTCACGTGTTATTATCAGATTATTTTCCACTGCTCTCCGGTCATGCTTAGTTCTGCTGTTTATTTATTTATTTATTTATTTATTTATGTAGGCTATGTACCACATGATTTTATTAAAGGGATAGTTCACCCAAAAATGAAAATTTGATGTTTAACTGCTTACCCCC